CCCGCAGGAGATGAATGCCCTCCATCTTGAAGTGGCGGTAGCGCACTAGGGTGCGCAGGGGCCGACGGTTGATAACTGGGCGCATATGGCCGCATTGGGCCCGTTCTATCGCCTCCTTCGTGTGGAGGGCCGATAGCTCCTCGTCTATTAAGGCTCGGTCTGTCCCTGAAAGTACAATAGGGTGAAGGGGAGGAATATGGCACGGGGTGTCTACCAACTCTATGTGAAACCCCCTCACTGTGGACAGAACCCAGGCATCTGAGGTGATGTCTAACCAGGCATGGAAAAAATGACAGAGTCTGCCCCCTACACAGAGATTGGAAAAAGCATGAGGTAGGTGTAAACTTACCGTAAGGGCGTCTGGAACCGGGGTTCCCTCTGAAGCCTCTGGGGTGCCATGGTCTTCCACGAGAGGGGAAGAAAGGGGACTGATGTCTCATCTCCTGGTAAGGTGGTCTCTTGTTGTAGGAGCCCCGTCCCGATCCACGGGCGTGGTAATTTGACCGGCCAGACAGACGGCCCCTGAATCTGCCGGCCCTGGTAGAGACCTGTCCCTGAAATACCCTCTTCATAGAGGATTGGGCCTTGTCCAGGGCTGTAAAAGCACCCACAAAGCGCCACAGATCCTTAATAAAGGATTCTCCAAATAACAGGCCCTGGGCATCTTTGCCCGCCTCAGTGAGGGTGAGGTTAGCCAATTTGGGCTCAGTTTTAAAGAGGATGGCTTTACGCCACTCTATAGACAGGGAGGCGTTCACACTGCCTGTTATGCAGATCGCCCTCTGCACCGAGCCACGGAGTTCTTCCGGGTCAACCTGCCTGTTTTCAGCTCTGGCTAGTTCAGCCAGGTCAAATAATGTAGCCAAAGGACCAAAAATGTCCAGGTGTTTGTCCTGGCAGAACTTTAGAGTGGAATCCAATCCCTTGCGGGGATTCCAACCCATCTTGTAAAGAAACTGTGTCATTTTGGGGTCAACAATGGGGGTCTCACAGACTTTACTGGGAATCAGGGGTCTAGGACTTTCTGCCCTGAGTTTGTTGCGCGCCGTCTTGCTAAAGGGGTGCCGTACCCAGTTCTCAAGGTACTTTGCTACATGGTCGGCTGGGAGCCATTCTGCCAACCTCAGGTGATGGAGAGCATCCGGGTCAAACATAGGTTCCCCAGACGGATGCATGAGGGTGGAACCCGTGGCAGCGGGGGAGTCGATGCGAGAGCCACTCATTACCAACCCTGATAAGGAAGGGGCAAAAGGGTCAGTGTCCTGCCTGCCATTCTCATCATTGGAATCATCTACGGACTCAGCTTCAGCCTCCTCACAAGACCCGATTTCTGAGTTGGAGTCGCTCTCTGCATGTGCTCTGGCACATTTCCAGTGTTGTGCCCATTCTGCCTGGCGTGGAAAGGCTCTCTTGCGTGACATAGGCACGCTGTCATGGGTGGATATAGTCACACCAGTCGTATTGGTTCTGGAGGCAGGGGGGCTTAAGTATCTGGATTTGGCCGTAGCCTTTCTGGGAATGTCCCCTGTAGGGTTTAAAGCAGAACGCGCTAAGCGCGTCGGCGTAGCCGAGCTCTCTGCGGGCACAGGGCGTGCCAGTAAGGCTTGAGAAATAGTTTGGGAAAGGGCCGAGGACATGGATCCCATGGTGGCCATAATGGCATCTGTAACGGAGCGTTGCAGTGCCAGGGCTTGGGCATCATCAGGTACCAACATAGGGTCACCTGCAGAGGAAGGGGGGCCAGAGCTGGCAGAGTTGTGGTTATCCAGCACATGGGGTACATCCATTTCCCCAAGGGAAAGTGGGGTGGCAGACCCCTTAGACTTGGGCATAATAAAATAGCTGTGAGAATTATCCCAATGACACAAATACAAATTAGAGGTATAAAATATTAATATATGCTGCTGAATAGAACATTAAGTTTAAACTGAAAGAGATAGTATCAACTAGCAGGAGTTAATCACCCCAGGCTAGTTATACCTAGAAGAGGGTAAAGTTAGGGAGCTCACCAGGGTCCAGAGCGGCAGACAGGAAGAGGACACGAGGAATAGCAAAGAGAAAATTGTAACAAATCGTCAAATAAACAGCCGAACGTTCGGCAGAAAGAGACGAATTCGTGAAATAAAATAAATGAAAGCCATAGAAGGGAAAACAGACGAATTGGCCGGCCGTTCGAATGAAAATTAGTCGAACGCGGCAAAAAGGTGAACCAGGTAGTGAATAAGGAAAACTAACGAATAGTAAGGTTTTCGTGAGAATTAGCCGAACGGCATGAAGAAAAAACAGGCGCAAAGGGCGCCAAAGAGACAGGAGAAAGAATAATGGAGGCACAAACAGCCTGAGAAAGATAAGGGGCAAGAAAATAATGCCAAAAGGGGTCTGGAACCCTGGGCTCAAGGATAACATACACAATAAAATTCCACAATAGGACAGAAGAATAGAAACATAACAATATGGAAAATAAATAAGTAAATAATGAAACTACAAGCAATAAGGCAAATGAATGGTACAAGAAACAAACTGAGATGATGTCAATAATGCAAATAAACAGTATACATAACCATAAGGCGATGATAATATGGAAGAAATTAGTCATGTACTTATCTGTTTGGTAGCAGCAAAGAAAGAGGAATTGTGTGGGGAGGTGCTGACTATTATACTGGGACTTGGTATGGGAGTGGTCTATCACTAAGGTTACCGTTTTTTCTTACTGTTTGTATTCTTTGCGGCTATTGGTGGACAGTAAAGAAAGGGTTAAGCAATATGAGCCTCCGTGTCTTGACATAAAATTGTATCACAGGCAGATGGGAAGGATTGTGTACACTGTAGGGGAGTGTCTACATGTAAGACTCTTTACTCTGTTTTTATTGGTTTAATTCGGTGTCCTGTGCCCCACAAGGTTCACCTGGGCGTCAACCTTGTGGGGAAAAAGTGTATAAAAACTCAAGCTGTTCAATAAACCTTCAGACCTTCTTACCCTCAACTTGCAGCCTCGTCTCGTGTTGTAGGGAATTGCTATACTCTGTATACTCCCCTGGATGCTAATCACTAGCTTCTTCCTGTTACGCTCTCCTGGAGGTCTTTCCCACACGGTCCTGGAAGTCAGAGGTTGATCTAGGTTGGAAGGAAGACGACGAGACCCCAACCAAGCTGTGGCGGTTCGTGGGGTCTGCAGTGCTTATGGTGTCTGGTGCGGTGCTGATGGTCCTTGGTAAGCACTAGGAGCATCGATTGACAGAGGGTCCGTTACACAATGCTTTCCCAATAATGCCAATGATAGGGTTTGCTCTAAACTGCAGTGTTTCCCAAACCAGTCCTCAAGACCCACCAATAGTCCAGATTTTGTTAGTATCTCCATTAGAATAAAACAGGGAAATACTGGACTGTTGGTGGGCCTTGAGGACTGGTTTGGTAACCACTGCTCTAGTGAATATTGTTACAGATCCTCTGTCCCTGGGGTATAAATCTATCATCTGGTTCGTCTGTTTGTTTACCTAAAATCCCTTTCATTCACTTGCTAGTTCTTCTGGTTGTTCACCTAAAACCCCTTTCATTCACTTTCTAGTTCGTCTGGTTGCTCACCTAAAACCCCTGCCGTTCATACACTCAAACAAGTGGCGGCGGCCATTTTATTTATTAGAACAGTACTTTGTCTATTTTTTTTAATAGACCGGCCGCTCTGCCTAATTCTCTGGAACTATTTTGGGCATGAAACCATGTGTGCTGTCAGTCAAAAGAGACTTCCGGGGGGAGGGGGGGTGGAGTCTGACTCCTGAACTAAACAGATGTGCTGTGTATGAGCTCCTGCAACAGTTGATAAATCCCCGATAATATCTCAGGCTGCCGGGCTGGGAGCTTCGAGCTGAGCTAATACCTACTTAGGGGGCAACCCACTGAACCGTTTGAGACCTCTCTCGGGACCCCCGGCCACCGGAGCCCGCAGCGGCAGTTTAAGGCCTATCGATGCTTGGGAGGGGGAGGTATGGCCAACTTCCTCACTCCACTCACCCTGCACAGCAAAACTCCTACTCTCCCCCCACCCCCCTCTGGACCGGCGGGGGTTATCCCAGTCCCCACTGGACTGACCTGTCTAATTGCTCCAGGAGCCTACCGCCTGTTCTGCAGCAACCACACACCACAAGATGGCGGATACCAATGCTTCTAAGGTACAAAGCCAAAAGCGGACCCAGGGCGATCAGCCGAACCACGTTGAACAGCAGTCTAACACATCCCCTCATAGCTCCGTGGACCGACTCCTACAGAGACTCGATGATGCTCTGGAGAAACACAGAGCTCCATTGCCACCCCAAATACAGATGGACGCTCGGAGGGGTGAGGGCGGGAAGGCACGGAGAACCCTCTTGGGCCTAACTGTAACTCACAAGCTCGTCTCTCCTACTACTGGCCTACCTGGGCTGAGAGCCACCAAGGGCTTGACCCTGAAACATCGCCCACATCGGTGAAGGACTCCCCGCCGCGGGCGGAGGCACACCATCGGAGATCCCCGCCGTTCACGAACCAGGAGGGACTCGGCCCTCCAGGGCAACCGGGTCCGTGGACCAGAGATGTCGGCTCCAAAGCAGGCCTGGAGCTGGAGGGGGTATCCACCTTGCCCCCAAAGTGCCCCGACCTCTGACTGATACCCAACTACAGGCTACACAAACCCCGCAAAGGGCTGGAAGCCACAAAGTACCTAATCAGGAGATGCAACGGAGCTCCCTCTGAAAGACCCGGTAGCCACCCGCGAGCAATGCCCATACAGGGAGAAGGGTGAAGAACCCCTGTACGAGAGACAACACACACACCAGATGCCGACCGCCTGCTATATCAGTGGATGACCTGAAGCAAAGGAGAGCCCAAATCCTTGAGGACGAGCACCAAATCTCCTGAGCTTGATTACCGCACTCTATACAAATGTTTGACCAGTTCTTTTTAGCATGAGCCCTGACACCAACTGAACTACCTACTTGACTTACATGTTTTTCTGCTAGAAATGTTGGGTGTGGGAGTCCCAGTGGTATATGCACAGTAGATACTAGCAAAAGTTAAATTTTCTTGTATTTTCTTATCTTTCAACATGCCATACACATAGAGAGGCATCTCATACTGCCTAGCCTATACTCACTGTAGCAAGCACCCCCTCTCTAATAGCCTGCAATCTTTTAAACTGCATGTCTCGAAAGTCCCTGCCAATAAGCATGTAAAGCATAGATTGTTTACACAGGAATATTCAACGAGATATGTTGCTCTAAAAAAAAAAAAAAAGTGCTGTTTTCTCACATGCTGACCAACTGTTAACATATGCTTTACCTAATACTTGTCAATGCTGTTGGGGCATGACGAGTCTGCTTGTTATATATCAATGTACTTCAAAAATAAAGAATACAAAAAAAAAAGAAAAATCTGTCCACACCGAAGTTGCTGTTTAGTGGATAAGGGAGGGTGCTGGATTTTCTCTTTTTTACCATATTAGTGCCCGACTGGGGATAAAGACCAGCCCTGGAAATAAAAGCAGGCCCATAGCATTGCGTCATTATACCAGCCCCATCTTATAACACTATATTCCTGTTCACAAAAAGGTAACCATGAATTTTAAAAGTACATTTAAAGAGTGTATTATTATTTATAGATACGACTGATATATACCCCTTCCCAGGGAAATATATATCCCAAGGTGATGCCGCACACATTGCCCTGATATATACCCCTTGCACAGGGCAATATATAGGCCCCAGTATGTACACAAGGTTATTTGAATTGCCCTGTGCATGGGTATGTATCAGGGCAGTGTGTGAGATATAAACCTTTGTATATAGTGGGGGCATATATTAACTTACCTGAGCACACAGATTGCTCTCCCAGGACTTGCTACAGCAACCAGGACTTACCCCAGCACTGACATTGCACTCACAGGACATGCCCTAGCACTGAGATTGCACTCACAGGACATGCCTTAGCACGAACGACTTACCCGAGCACTGAGATTGCACTCACAGGAATTGCCCTAGCACTGAGATTGCATTCATGGTACTTGCTCCAGCACCCAGGACTTACCCCGGCATTTACATTGCACTTACAGGACTTGCCCCAGGACTTCAAACAGCCTCTTGCATGTACCGTGAAAGAGGGAAAAGATGCCGGACGAGATTTCCAGTGGCAACAAAGACATCACATTGGCCGCAAGAGCGCTCTCTCACACTCTTGGTGACGCATCTGCATCCGTGGTTAAATTCTTAAAGGCCGCATCACACAGCTGCCCCAGGGCACTCGGGCCTTTCACAATATTACAAGCTGGAGTCTTTACTGGTATCATTTCTTTTTATAACCAATACTTTGGTTGTGACAGTTGAACTCAGACTGCCCGAGTATAGTGGGAACCTCCTGTGATGTACTGGGGTGTATGGGTGCAATGGGGACTGCATATTGGGCTGTGTGAGTGAAATGGTTACAGTTTGTGTGTGATATATTTGGCTGTCTGAGTGTAATGGGGACTGCATGTGATGTATTGAGTTGTCTGTATGTGATAGGAATAGTTTGTGTGTGATGATATTGGGCTGTGTACATGTGATGGAAACTATGTTTTAGCAATTGTAATTTGGAAACATGCATTTAATCTATCTAAAAGCTTCACTTGGGGGCGTGGTCTGACTGTTGATGAGACCAGACGTGCTTCACTAGAGCTCCGTCCCAACGGCGCCATAAGCTACCAAAAGCTACCTTTTTTCTGGAGATTTCCCCCCCACTGACCTCCCTACCATGGAAAAGAGACTCCCCAAGAAACAGGCAAAGAGGACCACGTAGTCTGGAGGTTCAGTTCTTGACCTGCTCACAGCCCATCGGCATGGACGAGCCGTCAGCCAAGATGGCGACGGGGTCTCCCCACACGCATCGCCTGGCGCAGACAAGGAGGCCCTCTCCGCGGAACAAAGCACTGTTCCCGCTAAATTGGCGGAGGTCAGATCTTTCCTTGCAGGGGAAATAGCCAAATCGACAGCCGCACTGCAGGCCGACATAAGTGCCCTGGGAGAACGCACGGCTAAACTAGAAGACCGCATGGAAGCGACAACTCAGGCCCACAATGAGGTAGCCGATAGAGTGAATCGCATGACAGCGCATATGGTCGACATGGATTTGGCCCTAGAAGACATTGCCAATCGTTCTCGGAGAAATAATCTCCGCCTGAGAGGCTTACCAGAAGGGTCGGATGAAGACCTGCAGGGGCTCTTATTATCGATTTTTAGGCCTCTCCTTCCGCACATCCCAGAGGAACATTGGCATATGGAGAGAGCTCACAGGGCGATGAAAACACAAAGAGCCGAAGCCAACGCCCCGAGAGACGTTATAATAAAGTTCCTCTACAATAAAACAAAAGAGGCCTTGATGAAGAAGGGCCGTGATGGGCCGATCCGGCACGCCGGAGCTACAATCTCACTCTACCAAGACCTGGCTCCTTCGACATTGCAGCGGAGGAGAGATTGGCGGCCCATAACTGGGGCTCTGCGAGGGGCAGGCCTGAAGTATGCCTGGGGCTTCCCCTTCAAATTAATGGTGTTCCGCAAAGGGAGAGCGCACGTCCTGACACCAGGAGGCGACCCGAAGCACCTGCTCCAGGGCTTGGGAATCCAACCCCCCCCCCCAGACCTACCTGACTTGGCGATATGTCCGGCAGAGCTTCCACAACTTTAGGCGGAGTGGCGCGGAGTAGGGCCCCGAAGCCAGCGCTGACGGCTAGCAGTATCGTATACCCCTCCTTTTCTCCAGCCTTGTCTCCCCTTATTTTTGGTGATCGGATCTTTTGTTTGTTGGGCGGGGGGCTTGGGTACAGGGCTTCAGAAGCGCACGAGGCGCACGGGGTAAACCACCTTGTTTGCCACTCGCCCTATCTTGACCGACCCGGGGATCCCAGCCTCTCTCAGTGGCTTTGAATATGCTCAATTGCACCTATTATGCCAGAAGAGCTTTATTGTATTGTTTGGGTGGGAATGAGGTGGCAGCGGGACAGACCCTGGTTTCCCCAATTTTCTCGTTGCTCCCCCCATTTTACCCCTCCTCCCCCCTTGTTAAAGTGCTTGTCGTTTACCTAGACCCCTGTTGGGGCCCTTGGGGCACTTCTTAAAGCCGGCCTTTTTTTCCTCCGGACTGAGGGGCAGACTTGGGAGGTCCCCGGCTGCCTCACGGCACCACTGTAACTGCCCTTGGAAACGGGACACCGACACCTCTTCCCTTCTTTTTTCGGGCGAGGACAGTTGAGAGTGACTTACTAAGGGACATTGATACCCCAGGACAGTTTCGGTGTATTATACGAATGTCCCACTGATATGACCATTTGAGATGAGTATTGTTAAGTGGGGGGCGCAGTGCCCCCCCCCTTCTGTTCTTGCTTAAGTTTAAACAATATAAGGGGGGGGGGAGAGAGGAAAAGAATGCGAGGGAGAGAAGGCGGGACGGAAAGACATACAATATTTCTAGTTAAACTTATACGAAAATCACAAAAGAAAGTAATTAGACTCTGATAATACAAAATCTACAAGTTTCTTTTCTACAGGGCAGGTTTTCTTAAAATTGCTAAATCAACAGGCCTTTCCAGAGAAAAGGTATCTGCAGACAATCATTTTACTTAGACTCACTAGATATACCCCCCATCTCGGCACTCTTAAAGATGGTGGCAAGCCCCGTGAAATTCCAGAACCATACAGCTTCCCCGAGTATATAGTTTGGGAGGCACAGGCCGGGAGTTTCATACTGATTGTTTACTGCAGAATGGGCTGTTTCCTGTGCGGCTACTTGCCCCCTCTGGCAGGACCTATGACTGTCTTGTAGGAGGTCGGCCACGGGGGGCGACTATCCGGCCGGGCAAACAGTAATTTGGACAATCAGGAAGTTGGATCTATCTGAATAAGAAGGTATCATGAAGGCAATAGTGCATATTATAGTTGTATGTGATTTCCCACTGTATTCATACTCCCTATGGTACTTGATATGGTTAACTGTGCTGAGATAAAAATAACCGTGTATAAGCATGTACACTCCTCCAAGATATGACACCTAACCAATAGCAGAAGGTCATGAACAACAGGTGGACAGAGGGGTTTGTTCCTGGCGGGATTTTTCTGGGTGGTGCGGCGGCGGGACACAGCGATAGAGATGAGAGGACCCAATGCGTTAAGCGACCCGTACTGAAAGCGACGAGACTGATAGCCCGCAATACTATTGTTTCATTGATTGATTTATATTGTACGGTAACCTATGGTGGTTAACGGTGAGGCGGGGGGGTGGGTACGGGGAGGGGGTGACCTCAGTGACCCAGAGTAAAGGGATCGGGCATTCTTGGTTTTCCTAATGGGCTCCTGACGGGCAGGGTCCTGTATTGAGATCCCGGTATTAATAAGGCATCTGCGCACATTACGGTTACATGTGTAACCCTCTTTGCCCCTCTTACCTATGGTATTAGATATGGTTAATTACGTTACGATGGAAATAGCCGCGAATATATTTGTATACTCCCCCAATCTATGACACCCAACCAACAAGTTGACGGGGTGGATTGGCTTTTTAAGGGCATGGGGGTTGGATGGGGTGGGAGGGGAGGGGGAGTGAGAATAGAAGGCAGACAAAAAAAAGAGAAAAAAAGAGGATCCAATGCGTTAGTGATCCATACCGAACACAATGAAACTAATAGCCCGTAATACGAATGTTATAAGTTAATAGTTTGTTTATTGTACAGTAATCCATATGTTTTAATGGCGTGGTGGCGGGGAGGAGGTGAATGCACAAGGGGAGGTGACCCCGGTAACACAGGGTAATGAGACCAGACAGTCTCAGTTTTTTCCTGGGCCCATGAAGGGCAGAGACTTGTTTAGGGATCCCCGGGCAGAACCAGAACTACTGTAAAGAGGGGAACTGGGCACCAAATAGGCTAGATAATGCTGTAACTTTATCGGTCCACATAGAGGTCCAAGCAAATAATAAGTGGCGCCTAAGTGGAGGAGCTCAGGGTCCCATTGTTCCTCCCAACGTTGATCATGGCAGGGAAGTGGGACGACGTTCCCCACAATATTCTGGCAATCGGTAAGTCCAGATGTTGTTCTTATTCTCTACTTTTTCTTCTCTTTACCCTTCCTTTTTTACTCTTTACTATTATTCTGAGGGGTGGTGGGGGCGGGGGGCTAGCAGCGGCTCTCTTTCAGAGCCCTAACAGGGAGCAAGATGAGACTAAGGTCAT